TCCTGGGGGAATTACAGTAAAAAAGCACCAATTTTTCACTCTGAAAATATGAGATATGCATGTAAATTCTCAACTGCTGAACTCCCCCTCTCCTTTGCAAAGAATAATTTTTGTGTTGGAATTTTTTTGTTTTACTGGAATAATACAAAAGGGAAAAGATAAATGATGTGATCTCCCTTGGCTGAATCTCCAGCAAGGGCAAACTTGCAGAGCTCAGATAAAAATGTCAGCCTGAATTTAATCTGTAGATTTTGATCTTTGTTTACAGCAAACTGTTGGATTTGTCTTCAGCAGGGCTGGAAATGTAAGTGGTTCATCATTATTATGCCATCCAGATATGACAGTAATGAAACTATATCAAAACCTGTCCCTAAACCCACAAAAAAAATTAAATAAAACCACTATTGAAGTGTTCAGTTCAATCCTTCTACCACATTTGTTGTTTTGAGTGTTGTTTTTTACAGGGTGTTCCCAAGGGAGAGAAGGAAAGAGGAAGATAAATTGTGGGAATGCCAAGAGGGAAGGGCAATAAACCTAAGGAAATCAGTGAGAAAAACTAAAACTTCTAAGGAGGACTCTTGAGTCTGGGAGGGGGAAAAACAAACAAACAAACAAATAAACAAACAAGCAAACAAACAAACCAAACAAACCCCCCCCCCCCAAAAAAAAAACAAAAAAAAAGAAGGCAAATCCAGATCTTAAAAATTTTTCACACACAATGAACAATTTGCAGATGTAACAAAACCATGTGCAGTGAGTTTTCCATCAGAATTTACCAATTAGTGAGACAGAACATAACCTGAGTGAGTCAAAACCAATACTGAGCCAGTCGAATTGAAGAATTATTGAAGAACTCAGGGTGGGTGGTTCCACAGAGCCCTCTGAGCCTGATCATCTCCACATCCAAGTGCTTAAAGCCCCAGCTGACAAACACACTCCAGCAGATGCCTGCTTTTAATCCATTTAAGCCAACAGGATGATTCAGTTACACATAATTACAATTAAAAAGCTACATAAATACTCTATGAGAGAGAGAGAGGAAGTGGGTTTGGTCTCCTCATGATACCTTGAGCAGAATGTTGTGTCTGTGCATGGCCATCACACCCCTCTAGAAAATTCCCTGCAGGGTTTTGTTTCTTACTGGAAAATCCCACAAAAATCCACTTTTGGAAGAGGTCTGTCTAAGGATTCTCTATGAGCTTTAGTATAAGTCTCTTTTATTTGGTGAGAGTTCTTCTTTATTTGACTTTTTATAATATGTATTGTGAATATGTTAAGATTGTGGTGGTAATATATTTGCAGTCATAAGGTACTAGATCATATTTACTAAGTGTTTTTTAATAGTTGCTTGAAGTAGGGAGAGCTTCAGCTGCTCTCTTTGTTTGTCTCAAATCTTTAGTTATGTCATGTGTAAATAGTTGCTTGAAGTAGGGAGAGCTTCAGCTGCTCTCTTTAATTGTTTGTCTCAAGTCTTTAGTTATGTTGTGTGTCAGTGGTACATAATTGGGATTTGTATTTTGTTTGCCATATTTTATTGGTATGGCTATTATTTGTGTTGGTGTCATGTCAAAATCTCCTTCCTTGAATGTGTTTTTTTTTCCTAATTTCTGCTTAATTGGTAGAATTTGGAATGTCTCTTGAAGGATCTTTTGTATTATTATTTGAGCTGACTCTTGGAATACAAGGAAATAGGACTAATTCTCTGTTTGTATTCTGTGGGTTGGTGTCTTGCAAAGATGCTCCTTCTTCAGGCTTTGAGGCTGTATTCCTTCCTTCATTCACTGTGCCTAGACACAAATCTTAACAGTCTGGGACACCTGGGAGGAGGAGAAGGAGTGAGGGATGTTTACAAAGCCACCAGTGCTGAGTTTCCTTGTAGGAAACAGGAAAACAAGGAAATAAGTTTCCTTGTGATGTGGGACAAGGGGCCTTGTACAGGTTCTGGGTTAAAGATCATTTAAAACTGCCCCATTTGTTCACAAAAACAAGCTGGCTTGTCAGCTCAGGGTTTCTGCCCAATAAAAACAGGTTGATTTTTTTCACCCGAGCAGCAAGACTTTTCTGTGCCCCAGGAGTGAGTTTATCCATAAAGCAGGACCAAGGACCACACATCACTCTGCAAACATCACCCAGTGCTGGCTCACACCATCACTCAGTCATGCTCATCACATGTATTTTATATTTTATATTTTGTGTTTTATATTTTATATTTTGGCTGCACTAGTTCTGAAATGCTTACAGCCACATTCTCACTCACTGTGGCCCATAGAAATGCTCAATAAATTAATTTTTCAGGGTGTTTGTTCATGTTGAACTCAGTAGCAATCCAAGCCTCTTTGAGTTTAAAATGGTGGAGAGTTAACACCACACCTAAAGTGTCCCAAACTAGGTAAAATGAAGTAAAAATGCAGTAAAGCCTATTAAAAATGGTTTTTTTTATTACATATACATCTTCTCATGTTGAAATTCCTACTTGATTGAAGAATTGACACATTAATCAATGTGTCAAAGTGGAGAGTTAACACCACACCTAAAGTGTGGTAAAATGAAGTAAAAATGCAGTAGAGCCTATTAAAAATGGGGTTTTTTATTACATATACATCTTCTTGTGTTGAAATTCCTACTTGATTGAAGAATTGACACATTAATCAATGTGTCAAAGTGGAGAGCTTAAGGTATTTTTGTGTGGCTAGAGCACAAAACATAATTTAAAGTCTTCTTACTGCAGCAGGTAATATCAAATTGAGGACTTTGGTGCCTTCATCAGAAATGCCGGGAGAGGTTTCTATTCATTTGGATTTTATAGTCCTAAATCTGTTCTGTCTTTACCCTTTCATTCCCTAAAGGAACCAAGTGTGGTACTTCCTCATCTAATGTAACACTTTTATTGCTTTGGGTTTGCCCTGTTCTAAACCAGAGTAGTAGTGAGAGCATTCAGCAAATTGTTTGTTCAGATTTCTGCCCAGACTGAAGGAGCTCAAGGCCACATCCATTACACACACAGCCTTCAGTGAATTGTGTATAAAATCCTGACTATATGAAATAGCACCAGGTCTCCCAAGCCAAGCTTTATCCTGCAAGTTCAAAGCACAAACTTAAGCCAACCTAACCTAACCCAACCAACCCACAGGAACACAATGGATTTTATAACAATTTTTCCTAACAGGTTAATGTTAGGAGAGGAATTTGTGCCAGTGTTTTTAGACTGTGACTTAAAAACTTGCCCAAAATGCTGGTTCAGGACTGGTGCAGATTTTGCAAGGGGGATGCTCAGCCTAATGTGGTGGAGACAGATTTTTCCCACACAAATTTATAACTGTTATACATCATCCAGCCATTCACCCTGTGCTGGCAATTAACTCAAAAATCTTCTGATGGGTAGAAACGCAAAAATGTTGTAGCCATGGGGCTACCTGAAAGTGCAGGTATTCTGGATTCTGCAGGAAAATTCTATATTTACACCCAGAAATGTTTCTGCATGAATGAGAAGCAAACATTTCTCACTCAGCTCTCTGCAGCTCAGTGCCTCAGTCCTGATCCAGCAGAATCCAGTGCAAACTCCCACAGGGATCAGAGGTGGGTTCACACTCCATGGCCTGTCCTGGCTTAGCTGCTCTGCCAATTGATGACATTGACAATTAATCTGTATCAATTTATTCCAGCTTCCATGTCTTTCTACCCATTCATAGACCTTCACAAGAAAATCCCATTCCAAGAATCCAGATCCTAGTGAATCACAGAGAGGAAGGAGCACACAGGGAAAAGGATCATGCTGCACACATTTCTTGGGAAAAGCTGAGAGGAGGCTGCCCTGGGTTTCAGCTGAGAAATGCTCAAGAAGAAAGGTCATTATAACAGCAGGGACAGGACTCAGGGTAAGGATACAGGAAAACCAGCAAGCAAGAAAAAAATGGGTGGATGGAAAAGAAAAGAGAATCTTTTTTTCTGGTGGTGCATGACATAAAAAACAGGTCCAGAGCTATCAGCAAGCAACTCATCTAATGCTCTGAATTTACTATGGAGGGTTCCCGTTTTTCTTTTTTTCTTATTTTTTTTTCCCCCCTGGATAACTTCTGATCACATCTCTTCATTTTGGTGATTTCAATTTCCTGCCTAAATTTATTCATGACTGGTGTCCTCTTACGTCAGTGTTGCCTGTAGATAAACAGCCCTTCTCCCTCCTTAATGTTTGCTCCAGCTGATAACACTGAGTTTGAAAGGCAAAAAAATAACCCAGCTCGTTTATTCCCCTTATTTATCATCCCAGTAGGGAAATCTCACAGTTGCAGACAGCGAGTGTGGGATACTGATTCAGATGAAAAATGGATGATGATGTCTGCACAGAGATTTCCTGCCTGAAGTCCTGCAGGGATCTGGTCACTGGAGCCCAGAGAATCACCCACATGCAGGTGCCTTCTCCCAAAGGATTGAACAGCATTCCAGACTCCAGGGAACAGATTAATTAGAGCCACTATCTATGGATGCATATAACACACACAGCTCATGTGGAAGTACTTATCCCATAGATAACTAAAATTAGTTATGTGAATTTGGATCTGACTTCCATCCTCATGGAAGGAAAAGAGTTTACTGAATCCCTAAACAAAATCCCTAAAATCCTTTGACCAGGATATCCAAGAAATTAGCATGTGGCTGGGAGATGGACACAGGACTGACAGGAGCCCCAAAATTCTGTACAACCTCATTGTGAGTTTGACCTGATAAAATCCTTAAGGTTTGAAAACACCTCTAAGACCATCAAGTCCAACTTCAGAAAGGACCAGATATAAAATATAAATATATACATGTTGGACTCTGACAATCAATTTATTCCTTCTCCATATAAGTCAAATGGCAGCAATTATGGATTTTTTTTTCCTTTTAAACGAGAGGAGGATTTGAAATCTTCCCAAAGTACCACCTCACATGCATTTGCAAGGTAATTTTTGCATTTCTTAAGAGGGGCAACAAAATGAGGTGGAAAGTTTGAGGCTACTTACTGAGCTCACGAAGCAGTGCTCGGACTCCCCACTTTCAAACAGGATGACATCCTTGATGAAGACTGCGATGGCTCTCATGATGAAGGACATGAAGAGGTGCATGTGAATGTAATTTCGAGTACAGTGTAGTTTTCTGTTGGAAAGAAATGAAACATTTCTGAATAGTAAATCTTCTCAAAAGCATTATTTTTATATTTACACATTTTTTTCTACCATGACAGAGAGTCCCAATTAAACATTAGAAACCCTGAGACAGGCTCTGATGAGCATCACCACAAATCCACTTAAGCCTCCTTAATTCCACAGAACGTGGCAATCCATGTATCTGCAGCAGTACTGCTGCTTTTTCAATCCTCAGAAAAACAGGAAAAAAATACAGGATGACAGAAAACAGGTCCGTCCCACTGCTCTCCACTGGAAAAGAAATGTTTTTGACTGAGCAGACTGAGCTCATTATAAAGGGCTTTTTTTTCTACAGAATGTTTCTGCTGCTATAATTCTTTTCAAAGTGAAATGTCTCTTCAAGCAGGCAAATAAATTCTTAGCATCTGTTGCCAGAATTAACACATATTACAGATTTTCTGGAATAATATGAACTATATTTTCATGTAAAAATTACTGGTTAATGATACTGAGAACTACACCAGAGTGTTTCTGTCCCTTGCCTGCTAATATTTTGAAGAAGAATTCTGATCTCAGAGGAAATTTTTTTCAAGAGAGAATTTCCATCAGCCAAAGTGAAAGGCCTGATAGCCTGGAAATGGGTACTTTGTACAGACACCAGAACCACACCAGACCTCACTCTGCAGCACAATAAAATTACCACCTCTTAACGAGCCACTGGGCACTGGCAGAGGCTGTGCTGCTAATCTCTGATCATGGCAAAATAATGGGGCCGAGCTGAGTCCCCTGTGCCTGCAGGCCAAGGCAAGTCAAGTTAAGCTGTTTCCCAGCACAGAAAAGCAGGATCCTCAATGGTTTCACCAGCCTGGCTGGCACCTTGTGCCTTGTGGAGGTAATTGCCATGTGTCTGATTGACTCCTCCATTGTAAGAGGAGTGGAGAGAGAACTCGGGAAGAGAAGTGCTAAGCTCCTGAATGGTGAGGCCAGCCTTGATGAGAGTTACCCTAGAAAATGTGCTCTGTCTTACACGAGGAGATGCAACCTCATCCAAAGGGCTCTTCCATCTCAGCTTTTTGCTGATCTCCCTTTACATAAATTAATTTATAAGAGGAGATGACATATATGCAGACTTCTTCATTGGAGGGACCCAAATTTAGATGCCTGAATCTATTGCAAAAAATAGAGAGCAAGAATTAATCCATGTGCTGCAGTCTGGGATTCCAATGCCACTTGGTGAGCTGCAGACTATCTGCCCATCCATCTCTGAGGCCCTGGGTCTCCTGCAGGCCCTGCATCCTACCTGCCACACTTGTGCCTATTCCAGGGACACCAGCAAGTTTAAATGGCCCTGGGTGTCTCTGTTGTGCCATAGAGTGGCAGCAGGAAGAGTTTTTGGAAAAGACTTTGGGAGGAAACAGGTTGCCCAGAGAAGCTGTGGCTGTTCCATTCCTGGAAGTGTCCAAGGCCAGGTTGGATGGAACTTGGAGCAACCTGGGACTGCAGAAGGTGTCCCTGCTCATGGCAGGGGATGGAATGAGATGATCTTTAAGGTCCCTTCCAACCCAAACCATTCTCTGATTTTGTTATCCTGGATATTTTTGGATACCATTTTGAATACCTACTTTAGGTAGAAATTCCCTGGTATCCATATACAGGACTCTATGGACTGTAACCCTCTAACAGAGATCCATCATAGAGCAATCTGCCTTTGGTGAGATGAATCCACCCAGTTAAGTGGATTGGGGTTACAACTTCCATGCAAATGTCAAAACTCCCACACCAAAACATGTCACCATGATATTTTATGAAAAATCCCTTTGCCAGGATTTTTCTCCTGAGAAGCTGGGAAGCTTCAGCTTCTCCGTTTTGCTGCTTTGCAATGTGATTTGGAGAATTGTTTATCCCAGCATGTGAATTATTTTTATTTAATGACCAATCCCAGTCCAGCTGTGTTGGACTCTCTGGTCAGTCACGTGTTTTTATTATTTTGTCTTTTCTAGCTTTCTGGTGTATCCTTTCTCTCTATAATTTAGTATAGTTTTAGTATATAATTTTCTTTTAATATAATATCATAATATAATAAATCAGCCTTCTAAGAAATATGGAGTCAGATTCATCTCTTTCCTCATTCTGGGACTCTCACAAACACCACAACAAAAACACAGTGACACTGAAAGATGGAGGAACATTCCTCCCCTATCCAACCAGAGTGACAGAAATCTTGTGCATCTTCCTGTAACACTCATAGCCTGCACAGCCTGTAAATCACCAGCCTTTGAGCCCCTTCCCTGAGCCTTTTTTGGCTGGTGGCCTCACCTGAAGAGACACAGAATGATCATGGCAGCCGTGAGGGCGATGAGGGACAGGGTGTGTCCGATGGTGTAGCCGGTCTTGACCGTTCCGTAGAACGCCGTTTGCTGGTGTGAAAGAAAGAACACAGAGCTTTCAAAGAGGTTCAAAAATCCTAAATGCAGAGTCACTGACTGCTGGGTAAAGGGAATCATCCTTCTCCACTCTCTTAATACACCTCTGACTCCTTCACCCTTTAAAATCCCATCCAGTGACTCAAACACTGCCGGTGTGAGTGTGGAGAACTCAGCTGGCTGCAGCAGAGCTTGGACAACTCCAAACCCAGACTAAAGTTACACAAGGCAAAGTTTCCTGCTGGAAGGAGGCTGATTTGACACCTTCTCCAGCCTAAAACCTTGTGGAACAGAAGTGATCAATGTTCAGCTAAACAGTGCACAACACTGGGTCTGACGTGCGGTGAAATTAATTTTATTAAGGAGGTCTGAGGGCAGAACTGTCTGGGAAATTGGTTTGCTTTTGTGGGATTTACACTGTTGTTTATGCAAGTAAAATGTTCTCACTGTTAACTCAGAAATATGTGTTAAGTTGGAAATCGGTTCATGATTTTTCTCTTTGACAGCACACAGAGGGAATCTCTGAGCATAGCACACCACAGGGCTTGGATCCAACAGGGAATCCCAGTCTAAATAAAATGGGCAAATAAGCTCTACAAAGCTCTCTAGCAACACTCTAAATCAATAGTTTGATTTCCAGCTTAAAGAAAAGAAAAAAAATCAAGAGATAAAATTATTTAGACATTTATAAATTTAAAAAATAATCTAAGTTTTTATGAGAACCTAACTCAGTTTATGGAATTTTTTTTTTCTAGCTCTTGATTGACCATCCTCTGCCCTCCTTATCACCATCTTCTATAAACAACCCAAACAACCAAAATCACAAAGAGCAGGTTAGGCAGAAAATCTAAACACAAACTTGTTTGGAGAAATACTCTTCCATAACATTGAGAGCTGACATTTTTATGTGCTATTTTCCCAGGCTTTGACAAGTATTTGGTACTTTACAGAGCCAGTGAGGCTGGGATGAGTTGCAATCCTTTAGCATTTGCACAAGCCAGCTTGGAGGGGGGTTAAAACAAAAGAGTTTTCAGAGATAACACTGGTCACATCTTTGACCACAGATCTCAGAGGTGGTTCAAGCACCGTGTCCTTCCAGCCATGTCACTAAGAGCTTTGGGTCACCCTGAACAGATAATTCAAAGGTTTCAGGAAGATTTATATGCCTGGTCTTGCCCAGGTAAAGCTCTGCAGGTGGGGCCTCACCTGAGGGGGGCAAAGGGACAGAACCCCCCCTTCCCCTGCTGCCCAGGCTGTGGGAACAGCCCAGGATACAATTGGATTTCTGAGCTACAGGTGCACATGGTCAGCACATGTCCAGCCTCTCATCCACCAGCACCCCCAAGATAAAAATCTTCTTTCCAGCCTTCCTGGAGTTTGGGATCCCAAAAACTCTGACTTTTCTAATTAAAGCAGTCAACCTCCCTCATGTGGATTTAATCTTTCTCTATTATCTCTATTTTGATGGCACCAGAGAAGAACTGTTCCAGGAAAGATTTGGCCAGCAGAAAAAAGGACCTTGTGGTAGGGGACTGTAGGGGGAAGAGGTTGTCCCACTCTTCATTTAGGAGAGCAAAGCAGGCCTTCTGCCTCTTAGAGTTATTCCCAGGAGCAAGTTGTGCACAGAAGGTTCTTGGTGTTATTCAACCAGCAATTCCCTGCTTTTCCCCTCATATTTTATGGTGACTAATTTCCCCCCCATATTTTATGGTGACTAATCCTTTTTGTGCAGAGGGGGATGGTTCTGCATGCAGCTTTAATGCAGGAGGTGGGGTCATCTCTGTTCTGGAAACTGCACATAATGGCTTCTCACTCTTCACTACACTTGCTAATGACAATTGGTTCCTATTTCAGGGTTATCAAAGCAGAGAATTTGACCCAGGATCATAAATGGAATTGAAATTTCACTCAGGGTCCAGATTATAAAATATTCTTATTAGAAATGAAAGGGATGCAGATAAGTGCAGGCAATGCATGCTAGGATGTCTGACTGTTTTACAGAATGAAACCAGGCAACTTCATCATTGTCTCTTTGACTTCTAAAAGCTTCTGCCTAATTTCACAGGAGTGTGATAATAACAATTATCCAAGGTAGGTGCTAAATTGAGATTAACTGAGATTTATTTTCCTTGGTTTCTATTCAGTAACCTCAACATTTGTCCCTTGGTTGACAATGGGAAACATTTACAATTTTGAAAGGAAAATAAGAGAAATATTGATATAAAATCCTTCAGGACACAAGTGTTTTGGGGTTCATGTCATCCAGCCCAAAGTCGTTTGGGTTCCCTCAAGAGTAAATGAAAAGAAATTTCTTTGGAGAGAAATGTGGGCAGAAGTGACCTCTGGAGGTGTCTCTTTATTTCACCATTTTCAGGCAGAACCTACAGAGACCTGGTGTTGCAACCCTGGATACTGAGAATTTTAGACTTTCTGTGTTGAAAGTCACAGATCCTCAAGAGAACACTGCATTTGACCCGAAGCCATAGAGAAAGCTTCCAAAATTGATTAATAACACAAAGATTATAAGTGTGTAGTTCATATAGAAGTGTGTAACATCATAGGGTGGAAAACCTAGAGTTTAAATTTTATAGTAATACATATAAGGCAAGATAGAAGTTTTAAAGCAGTAGCTAATCCTTCTTCACCTTCTTAATGAGTTTAAGTAGTATTTTATAATTAGATAAAAAGTCCACATTGCAGAACACAAGTAGTTAGTAATTTAGTTAAAAATAAAAATAATTCAAGTATAATTTCTTAATTAGGTGGTTTTTCCTTAAAAGGCCTTATAGAGATAAATACAAAGCCATTTTGTAACTTATTAGTGAAATGCTGTAAAACTCACAACTTATAAGACTATAATATAAAGAAGAATTAATAAACATCTGAGCTCCAACACAAAATACCATCTCTATGCATTTAATCCCGACCCTGACCAAAGCAAAAAAAAAACAAAAATAAAAACCCACAATAACCCTGGGGTGGCCCCTCTGAGCAGATGGAAACACAGCAGGGAGAAGAGCATCACATCTGACAGAGGAGCAGGATAACAACCCCACTCCCCATTTGCTAATGCACCACTTTTAAAGGTCAGCTTGGAGAAGGGCTCATCATCACTGCATGGACCCCAAGAGCAGCACTTTGGTGCCTGCATCATCTGCTGCTTTAGGGACTGCCAGAATTCACAGCTAAAACCTTTCACACTGCCCTTATTTATTTTTCATATTGTTTTTTCTTGCTGTTTCTGACCTGAGACCAAAAGTTCATGAAGTTTTTAACTCCTAAAAGCTTATCAGTCTTTCCTGGACCTCATGTCCTGTACAGACTGATGTTTTTTTTCTATTCCCTTTACTTCTTGCTCCCCAAACTCACTGCCAATTCAACAACAAGAAAACAAAAATCTATTCTTCTTCACAGGCTGCTACTGCATGTTTACCCCCCTCAGCCACCTTTCACATGAATTGGACTTTAACAGCAAGAAAAAATTGTGGAAATCAAGGGAAAATAATTAAGAAAGAATTAAAAGAACAATAGAAGTTCTCCTGGTAACACGGCACTCTGGCAACGCTGCACTCTAGCAACGCTGCAGGCTGTTGGGTGGCAGGAGCATGTCCCAGGAATTCCCAAATCCCCTGTGCAGCAGGAACACAAACCAGAGCTCTGGGTGGGGGTCCTTGCACAGCAGAGCTGGAGCAGTGGGTTCTGCAGGCACACAGCTCAGTCTGAGGGATGGACGCTTGAGCACGTGAAGTGCTGGCTGACCCTGAAGGCAGACCAAGGCTCTCTTCAGCACAGCCCTCGAGTTCTTTGTGCACCTCTGCCTTTGCTCTTTTCTGTTTTCTTTCCCACTCAGAGCTGGCTCAGTTCTGCCCTGTTAAATCTTGGAGTGCCCTGGCAATGCGTGACCATGCACAGAGACCTCTCACCATATTGAGTCTCAGAATCCCAGAATGGATTGGGTTAGAAGGGACCATAAAATCATCTCATTCCACCTCTGTCCTGGGCAGGGACACCTTCCACTATCCCAGGTTGCTCCAAGCTCTCTCCAACCTATCCTTGAGCACTTCCCAGGATGGGGCAGCCACAGCTTCTCTGGGTATCCTTTGCTGGGGCCTCACCATCCTCACAGTGAGGAATTTCTTCCCAATATCTCATCTAAACCTGCCCTCCTTCAGCTTAACACCATTCCCCTTGTCCTTCCACTCCATGCTCTTGTGAAAAATTCCTCTCCAACCTTTTTTAAGCCCCCTTTAAATACTGGAAACAGATGTTAATTAATTATCGAGATTCCTATGTCCAATATTCACTAACACTGAGGTATGTCTTAAACAGAAACAACAACAACAAAAAGGATGAGCAGTGATTTAATATAAACACATTAACCTATTATATAAAAACATAAATACTGCAACATGTGATTGCAGTGAAATATAACTTTCCATGCATAAGCTTTTTCTTGTTGACTATGGGACTGCTACAGGTGATTAGTTTAGATTAGAAGCTGAACTTTGAGTTAGGTGAGGTGAATCTTGCTTCTAACATTTGTTATCCTCTTTAGACTTTACCCCTCATGTCTCGGCACGCAGCAAAACCATAACAAACTCCTTCCTGTGGAGTGATAATACTCTGCAAAGCTAATTATACCTAGGTCAGAGATTGCTAATTTATACACAATAAATAAACACAAACAATATCCCAGAGAACTTTTGGATTTCCTATCAAAATTTAGTAAAATTTTGAAAATGTGTGTTCCCTACAGTGATGTAGATATTTAGCTGGTTGAGATTGCAGAGTAACAAAATGTAAGTTTTATGCCTTTAGAGTTTTTGATGCTTATGTTGCCATAGAAAGATTAGAATCACCATATCTACTTAAGCATAAATATAAATGTGGAGGGCCTGTTTCAAAGTGCACTGTGGAAAATGAAACACTTGAAGTTATGTGTGGGCATCACATGGACAATGGTCTGATCTTCTCAGGTCCTGATGTCCTGGAAATTTTGGATGTCCCATCCCTGGAAGCGTTCAAGGCCAGGTTTGGAACAGCCTGGTGCCCCTGTCCGTGGCAGGGGGTGGAATGGGATGATCCTGAAGTTCCCCTCCATCCCAAGCCTTTCCATAACTCCACCAGTCTAAGACATCAAAGGGAAGATAATTTCCTTGACCAAACATTTGAACTCTGCTTCCAAGGATCCTCAAGAGGATCCTTCCCTCCTGAGGAATCAGAGGGGGAATGGGAAAAATTTGGCATAGGAGGATCATACAATTTGGATACTGATCCCTGTTAAATCTTGATGTCCCCCCATCCAGGTTTACAAACCTCTTCCCCTGGAGTGCTGTTGGAATCATATCCACAAGCTACAGCGTAGGGTGCAGGGTACACATCTGACCAGCCCTGGCTTGTACAATTCCTGGTCACATTTCCTGGAAGAAAAGAAAAAACCACATGATTTAAAAAGAAACCTTTATCTCACTGTTAAAACAACTTCTGCCTCTTGTGGTATAAATGCCAAAACACAATTCTTGTAACACTTAGAGAAAAACTCTCATACTTTTTCCCTGTTATTAATTTTTCATATTACACAGAGCTCATAAATGGGAGTCATCTATTCTGTTTTAAAGTCCAGGCCTCAGTAGAAAAGTTCATTTTAATACAGAGGTGCACACAAAACATCTCTTCCAGTGGTACCATGCTGCCAGTTGTACCCAGACCTTTGGTTCCTGGCACTGCACCAGTATTGTTTGAATGTTTTATTGTCACATTGACTTTGTTCCTGGAAAATTTTTATCTAAACAGAGCAGTGAAGTATTTATGCCTTTCACTGTGTTCCCGAGAAGCCAGGACAGGGATAGATAAAGGGCTTATTTCACACCATGCAGATAAGGCTGGGGGTCTGGGAACTAAATCCAGTCCTCCACACCCAGACCTTGGCTACAACTGAGCCCTGATCAAATGTGATTCCTGGGAAATGTACTGCACTCTGGTTTGTGAACAGAACACTTCAAAATTTGGCTGTGAAGGGACAAAATCCACACACTGACAACCTGTATTGCCTGTTTTAACTTGCATACTCCAGGGCAGGAAGATTTCCTGGACTGTCAAGCTTGCTGAGTGCCTGGGGCCTCTGACCAGCTAAAAAGAGCTTTAATTAACACAAGAACATCTCACTCCCTCAGCCAAACTGTCAAAACTGACGTTCATGTGGCTCTTTGCTGCTCAGAACTGCCTGATCCATCCAGGATTGTAAGAGCAAAGCACTTCTCACTTTGTAAAACATCTCTGCTTCCTGTCCCTGCTGGACCTCAAACCCACATCAGCTTAATCCAGCAAAAGGAGAGACCAGCACTCAGGATAAGCCTTACCCCAAGAGATTTGTAGGCTAAAAGGCCAAGATATGGGTTTGTCAAGAAATAACAAAGCAGAAATGCCCCCAACAGCACATTGTAAATTCGCCCAGCACCTTCTCTGACCACCAGTGCCCACCATGCCCACCTCACTAAAATCCCATTATTGGGACATTCCACTGGTGCCATTCACCTCACAAAACTGGAAAACTGGTCAATACACCAGAATGATCAAAAAGAAGTCAAGCCTTGCTTCTTAAGGTAAAAAGTGACATCAGTGGAGCTCAAAGAGCTTTGCAACCATTTCCAGCGACAGAGCTCTTTGCACAAAAGAGTAAGAAAACTCCTGCAAATGGGACCAAATAAGTTATGCAGCTGTGAGTCACAAAAATATTTGAGTATCACCTCCAGCAATTTCTGACACTTGATTCATCTGAGCATCTTCCCAACCACGGGCCTGTTCTGCCCTGAGATCAGCAGCAGACAATGCCCTGCCTGAAGTCACTGCTCCAATCCCTGTCACAGATGGATTTTGACATTAAACTTGCCCCTTTAATCTGTCTTTGCAGCAGATCTGAATCCAGGAGGGCTCTCAAAGGTGCTTTTCTTCATTTTCAAGCTGCTCCAGAAGCAGAAAGTCCAGCACAGCTCCATGGGCTGCTGTTCCAGGCTTTCCCTGCATGGCCACCGTTTGCAGTTCCTTCCACCAGAGTTCATATCAGGATCATAAAGGATCTTGTGCAAACAAATCAAGGACACGACTGTGCGGTGCTTTCAGCTTTTCTGAGTTATGCAATTTCTGTTATTTCTTCTTTGTTACAATGGATCCCATTATCTGAACTTCACTGCTTCCCATTTCCTGCTCAAAACTCTGTTTGGGGATGGCTTAAGATTTCACGGTGGTTTTAAATCTGTGTTTCTTATTCTGAGTGAGCTAAGGTGTGTTTCTTTCGGCGAGTTTTTCTCCTATTTCTTCTTTTCAATTGCATTTCCTCACAATTTCATGATTATTTAAAAACTCTCTCCTCTCTCAATACCTTCAAAAATTGTCCCAATGCTTTAGCAGATGTGGAGACCAAGGTAGAAAAAGAACAATGACAAAGCACCAGTGGAATTAAAAAATAATAATAAAAATTACTCTGATTTTAAGGAAACTCACTTCCCAGATAAGTTTTTCTGCCACTCTTTGCAGCTTATGTCACTTTTAGATGTGGAAATTCATACACATGGTGTGATACAAGACACCTTTCTAAAACCTCTCATGTTCATCTGACATCTGAGAGGTACAAAAAGCACAAGGTTAAAAAAAACAAATGTTTGATCAGACCACAATTTGCCTCAAGTAATGGATGATGTCTCTTCTCAGACCAAATAATGTTTCTAATTACTACTATTTAAAATATCACTTTCTATACTGAAAATGAGCATAAAATTTGGGAAAGTGTCCCACAAGCTTAGCTTTCCTCTGAGGTTTACAGGCTCAGGTTAGACTGAAGTATGACACAGATTTTTATGTCCCAGTGTCAAATCCCAGCTCTATCCTGATGAAAATGAGACTTTTTTTTGTTGTCTCGTTGGCTCTTGTTTTTTCCAGACTTTGGTCATAATGTCTAATTATTTATCAATGGAAAGGCAAATTTTTCAAAGCAACAGAAGTTATATTTGCCATTTTCCAGAGCTGTTTCTCAGTAATTTGTGTAACACAAGCTCTCCCAAAAATGAGCACCAATGGAGTACATTGAAAATCTGGAATACATTGAAAATGACAGTATCAGAAAACACAAACTTTCTGCACTCGGAATTTATCTGTAGCCTTTCAAAGTTCACTAGATTTCCCAAATGTTCCCATTTCCTATCAGACTGGAGCTAAAATTTTCAAACTGTACTCCTGGAGATTTAATGAGAAAGGAGACCAGGGGTTTATAACTCCTCATAATTAGCAATGCAGAGTGGACGAGAATCACTGAGAGATGGGAATCATCCCAGTGCTAGCAGGTTTGTGCTCCAGGATCTCCTCTGTGTTGTGGAAAAAGAAGAGGCCAGTTCCTGGTGAGAACAGAGTCCCCTCAATGTCATGGTATTAGTTAAAGCCATGAATTAATCTTGTTTTCTGGTGGGGTTTGTATTTGATTTTATCAATGTTACCACTGTCAAAGTGGTGTGACTGTTCCTAAAAGCAATGTTCCTAAAAAAAAAAAAAAAGAAAAAGCCACAACTAACTCCATTTCCTATCAGACTGGAGCTAAAATTTTCAAACTGTACTCCTGGAGATTTAATGAGAAAGGAGACCAGGGGTTTATAACTCCTCATAATTAGCAATGCAGAGTGGACGAGAATCACTGAGAGATGGGAATCATCCCAGTGCTAGCAGGTTTGTGCTCCAGGATCTCCTCTGTGTTGTGGAAAAAGAAGAGGCAAGCCCCTGGTGAGAACAGAGTCCCCTCAATGTCATGGTATTAGTTAAAGCCATGAATTAATCTGGGTTTTTTGTGGGGTTTGTATTTAATTTGATCAATGTTACCACTGTCAAAGTGGTGTGACTGCTCCTAAAAGCAATGAGGTGAGGTTTTCCATTAAAAAAAAAAAAGACAAAGCCACAACTCTCATTTATTTTAATAATAACCTCATAATGCTTTGCAAGAGCTCAGTGCCCTGCTTTCATTGCATCCCACAATGGCTGAGGCTGGAAGGGACCTCTGGAGGTCATCTGGCCCCAAACTCCTGCTCAGGTGTGGTCACCTAAAATGGAAGCATGACCAGATGCCTTTTGGATATTCTTGGAATCCTTCAAAGATTGCACAAGCATATCTTGTCTCAGAATTTAGAACCATGAAATCATCAAATGGCTGAGGCTGGAAGGGACCTCTGGAGGTCATCTGGCCCCAAACTCCTGCTCAGGTGTGGTCACCTAAAATGGAAGCATGACTTCGAATCCTTCAAGGATGGACAAGTTGCAGAAGCAAATCTTGTCTCAGAATTTAGAACCATGAAATCATCAAGGAGTGATTTGGGTTGGAAGGGACCCTGAAGCCCACTTCCAACCTCCCTGCCATGGGCAGGGAACATGCACAAGCATATCTTGTCTCAGAATTTAGAACCATGAAATCATCAAGGAATGATTTGGGTTGGAAGGGACCCTAAAGCCCAGTTCCAACTTCCCTGCCATGGGCAGGGAACCTCCCAGGAGACCTCCTTGTTGTCACTGAGAGGAATTTCCCTCCATGATTTATTCATGACACAGCAGAAGAGGAGGGAGGAGTTTGTGGAACAGAGATAAAACCAGAACATTTTCTTTATCAGAGGTGTTTGATCTGGGTGGGAGTCAAACACTGAACAGATGAACAGAATAAATGCACGGAGCTGTTGTCTTGCTCTTTAGGATTTTTCCTCTTAATTTCTTTCTGCCTCTCATCTGTTTCAAACACACCCTTCAAACTCTGAGACATGTCTGAAAGTTCATGTTACAGGTGAAGTTTTACTTCTTTGATCTTGGAAAAACCCTCTTATTGGCTTTTAATGGGAATTTGAATTCAGACAAAGAGATCTGAGGTCAATCATGGCTCAGGGGTGTTGGGTTTTGCCCCCTCTTGCTTTCCTTGCCCTTTTCTGTAACAACTTCTAAAGCAGAGGGGAAGGTGTGCTCTGCCCAGCAATCACTCCTGCTTCTCTAGCACCATATTCCATAGACATAAATCGATTTTTTCAAGCAGAAACTATTAAAGCAGTAACACTTCTATTATCTACCATTCCTGAGACACGCTGGGTCCACTGGAACATCTCTGCTTTCATTTTTATTATTGATCTGCCCCACTGCTCCTGGGAAACACTTGAAACTTGCAGACAGCTTGCACTTAGCTGGATGCTGAAGTGCTTAGGCCTGGGAAAAACTTGTGGGGAAAGTCGTGACAGGACTTTCACAATTTCACAATTTGTTTCTTCTGCCTTGGTCGTGGTCTCACAATATCATTCCTTCAGTGCAATTTCTGCCCGCTGTTTAATGTTATTTTATGTTTTTGTAATTCATAACCTCATCTCATTGTAGAACCCGTGGCCTTGGGTCAGCACATCAAACAAGACAGACTTAATTTTCTCCCTTTTTTGTTTTTCACATCACTTGGCCTGCAGATATTGCTGCCACATGTCCAGTGCCCTGAAACTTCCTGAGCCCCATTTTTGTAGCAAAACTCAGTTTTCCCTTATTTTCCTTTCCCTTTCCTTTACATTTCACTTCTAAGATACAGATAATTCCCCCTTTCTTAACAATAACATTGTTCCCCTTGATTAGGCACCTTTTGTAAACTGTTTGTTTTCTCATCCTAAAAACAGAGCTGTCAAATTTTAGGACAAAATTCTCATTGGATCTTTTGATCCTGCAATTATAGGATTACAGGAAACATTTAGAAAAAAAATGCACATTTTTGGGTAGAGGTGGAGGTGCAGTACCAATCCTTCTGAGGAGTGGGGCACAAGCATTGTGACACTTCAGGTGCAAAAAAAATCAAGGAATGATAGAAAGGCTTAGGTTAGAAAAGCCCTCTAAGATCATCAAGTCCAATCATTAACTCCACATTGCCAAGGCCAACATTAAACCATGTCCCCAAGTGCCACATCCACACGTTTTTGAACACTGCCAGGGATGGTGATGCCCTCTCTGAGCCTCCTTTTCTCCAGGTAATTTTGCTTTTCTGATATGAAGGCACATGTGGACAGCAAGGCACCTGAACAGGTCACAGGTTTTCAGTGAAGAGAACTCCAAAAAAAACCACACTCAACTTCTTGAGTATCTTAATGACCATTTGTAGCAAATAAATAATGGGTATGGCTCATTTTGGGGTTCTTTAGTGAGGTGGTGTTGTCTTCTTCTCATCTGCTGCTCTCTGCTCATCTCTATCCTCATTTTATTCAGTTTTTGCTCCAGTTTCAGAAGCAATGCAGAATAAAAAGTGCTCATGAAGGAGGGGAAAGGAGAGGGGGAATAAATTTAGAACACCCAAGGAAAAAAGGATTTTGGCAAGCCCAAAACTCAGATGGATCTCACCTCGCTGAGTGGGATTCCAGAGCTTGGTTGTGCCCATCCCCACCCCCTTAGGTCAATTAATCTCAGATATGAAGCTTAAAAACTGTCAGTGTTAATTTAACTTGTGCATGGCAGACAATTTGCTTTTGGAGAAACTGAGAGACATAAATCCCTATTACAAATGTCATCTTCCATGTATGGAAGGAGAGCTGGAACACTCTGGTCAAGGGGTGGAAAGCAATGCACTTTAATAATGAAAGGTGCCAAAAATATTTTCATCCGTCTCCCTCACGTGGCACTGATGAACGTCATGAAATAATGAAAATTTTCTGGATCTGTGAATGCCATAAAAAATTAATGTCAAATGACATCAGGACAATTTAAGGTTTTTAAATGCCACGAGACATTTTATCCATTATTAACCATGAGATGGGATATTAGTCATTTGAAGAGCTCTCCATGAGGCAGGAAAATCACATTAACTCTTTGCTCCCTGGTATTTCACTCTTTTCCTGCTATAAACACATTAAAAAGATTTTTCTCTGGCTCACAGCTTGATAAAAGCTTTCCTGTTCCTGCAAAGGGATCAAAGAGTACGACACAAACATTACCCAGATGATTGAGTTCCTTGAGAGCTGCTCAATGACACTCACTGCTACAAAGGAAGAGCTGCTTCACAACATTTAATGACATTAATTTTGCAACAAATCCTATAAAACGGGAGGCAATCTTCCCCTCCCTTTATTTAAGACCATCACTGCTTTCCCTGTTTGTTGATGGTTGTGTACAAAGTGTCTGACTCAGAATCAAAGCTGCTGCTTCTGCTTTGGGGATGGCATCAGTTGTTCTGTTGGTGCTCTGCTGAGGCAGAATTCAATCCTGTTGGAAGACATTCCCATCTGCCAGAGCCACTCTGCAATATTTTGATTGCAAATGGAGAGAGATATGGGGTTTATGGACTGTATTAAACTCATCCTGGAGTGGGAATCAAAAAAACAGCTGAACTGTACTTCTAAAAAGGAGGTACAGTTCAGCTGGTTTTTAGATTCCCACTCCAGGAGAAGTTTAATACCATCCAAGATAGTATTAAACAGGAGGAACAGGCTCCAGGATGAGCCTGTTCCTCACCTCTGACTGTAAAACCAGTTCAGAGAGTCCTTGAGGTTTAAAAAGAGCTCTGAGAACATCAAGTCCAACCATTAACCATTGCCAGGTCCACACTAAACCGTATTCCTATTTTTGAGCACTTCCCTGGACAATGAATCCACCACTTCCCTGGGCAGCCTGTTCCAGTGCTTGACCTTTATATATAATCAAATATACACAATATTCTCCTCATCACTCACCTCTGGTAGGATGATGTATTAAAAAGCATTTTTAAGAGGTTTTTTTTGCTGTTTTACTAACTCTGCTGGCGTATAAAACCCAGTGAGTGAATGCTGTGCTTGGGGGAGGGCACAGAGCAGGAACAGCAGGAAATTATTCCACACAGCTGATCCCATGCACAGGGGTCTTGTCCTGCAAGATGTGATATCACAGCAGCTTCTGCCTCTTCTCCCTGGGTGTTGACACAGGAGTGATGAGCTACCAGGGAGTTTTGGAAATGAGGAAGTCAGTGCTAGAATAGTGTTGGAACCCTGGCTGCTGAGAATTCCAGACTTTCTGTGCTGTCAGGCACTGACCCCCAGGAGAACACTGCATTGACCTGAGGCCGTGGAGAAGCTTCCAAAATGGAATGACAGAACTGGGATTGTGGGTGTGCAGTTTGAATAGAAGTGTGTGATAACACAGGGTGGGGAAACTCAGAGTCAAGGGTTTAGAATATAGTAATATTTATAAAGCAAGATGGAGGTTTTAGGGCAGAGACTGGTCCTTCTTCTTCTTCTCCTTCTTCACCTTCTCCTTCTTCTCATTCTTTTTCTTCTTCTTTTTCTTCTTCTTTTTCTTCTTCTTCTCCTTCTTCTCCATGGGTTTGGGTGGTTTTGTGTAATTGGATAAAAAATTCCCCATTGCAGACCATGGGTGGTTGGTAATTGGGTTAAAAGTGAAAATAATTGAGGTGTCATTTCTTAATTGGACAGTTGATCCTTCAAAGGCCTTGCAGAGAGAGAGATGGGGCTCCATTTTTAGTTTGTCAGAGTGCAGTGCTGCAGAACTCAGGGTTTGTGAGAGTGTGACAGAGATAAGAACTGATCAACATCTGAATGCCAACAAGAAATTCCGCCTCAGGACTTAATCCCAACCCTGACAGAAAATAGAAGCAAAGAATCCACAGGACAGGACTCCAGGGATTTTTAATTTCCCTTCTGTGCCTGCAAGGAATTTTGGTGTGGCCTTGGGCAAGTCATGTAATCAGCATGTGCTGGTTAATGAGTGCAGTGCCCAGGTCTGTTGAACAGGGATGATATTGTTTGCCTACCCCCATTCCTAATTTATCCTGTGTGTTTGCATTACAAAACTTTAAAAATGGAGGGTCAGCCCAATGCAGGATCTCCAGTGCAAAAGAACTTAATTCTCTGTTAAGGCCTTCAGGACTTCTATAATAAAAATAGTGAAAAAAACTATAAACTACCAGGAGGCACAATCAGCCCTTGCTGTACAGCCCCTTGAGACCTGAGTTTTAAACCAAAGCTTCTCAGAACACCCTGAACAGTGAGTTAAGCTACGTCCTCCATTAACCTCCCCTGCCCATTATTTGTCAGGTTAATTCCTTGGCCTGTGGTCAGATTTGTCATTCCAGCAGAAAAAAACCCCCAACTTTATTACGTCCAGTTCCTGCTTGTTCATTTTCTGTCAGAGACTTAATTAATGATTGTGCTAAACTGCTCATTTTGCACAACAGACACAACTGTTCCACAGGTTGATTCAATTTTCACTGCACAACATCCATATTATTGGATTTCACCAGGGGCCATTTTTGCATCCCTGTGATCCACAGCAGTGCTGCTGCGAGTGCAGGGAGGATGTTTCCATGTTTGGGAATTCATGGATGGCTTGGAAACCTCCTTCACCTCGGGCTAAGAGCTGGTTTCTCCCTCTTTATTGAGATGTTCCCCCCGTGGAATGCTGAGAAACCCCGCTGGGAGCGAAGCTGTGGAGCTGATTTGGGATTTGCTTACCCAGGTAGGAGGTCAGGAATCTGAAGTACTTGGGGCATGGCCGCACCACGACTTCTCCCACCTCTGCTTCGGGCCAGCACGTGATGTTGTCCCACTGCCTCCTGCAGCCTGGGGAAGAGAGAAAAGCAGATGATGGAACACTCAGGAGTGTGGGATGCAGCAGAGCAGCTCTGCAAAGGTGTGGAGAGCCCCTCACCCTGGCACAGGCACCTTTTGGAATGAAACCCCACTGAAAATTTCCTTTAAACATGCGGCTTTTATCTCCCCCAGTCCCTAAAGTTCAGCACTGTAATTTTCCAGCGATCAGTATGGATAGAACAGCAGATAAAGACAAAAAGAAAAAAGAGTCAAATCAGACTTGATACAAGAATAGTGTCTTCTCCTAGATTAAAAAGGCAGAAATTCCTGATTAAATCTCTCTCTTCCTTGCTCTTGTTGACCTGTTGCATTAAAACACCTGATCTGAGCCTGTGAGACATTGTCCTTTCCTTCTGTTTCCCCCACATCCCATCATCTTTTCCTTCCCAGTGCAGTGATTGTGCAGCTCTCACAGCAGGAAGGGACACATGAAATCAAGGACCAAAATCCCTTCACCAGAAGCAGTTTTCTTCTTGAAAAGGGAAAAGGCACAAAACATTGCTGGAGGCTGAACAGGGACAGTGCTGTGGCCAGGAGAGGATCCCTATGCAGGAGTGAGGGAAGGTGCCACATCCAAACTGGGAATGAAGAAATAACCAGCACAGGGAGGAAAAATAAAAGGGTTTTGTCAAAATAAGGCACTGCTGAAGATTTTCTGGGTAGGATAAAAGATTTAGTGGAAAGAAAAATACCATGTCCTTTCTACAGATTTCTAATGTTTTGATTTTGCCCTTTTATTTCTGAAAAGGCATTAATAACACCCCATGCATGCTGCATTGTTGGATCACGTAACATTAATGCTGAAGCCAAAAGGAGTTGGCAGGTTTGAATTAAAAAAAAAAAAAAAAAATAGATTCAAACACATTTTTGCATCTGTCACCATTTGAGAGTTCTTAGCAGAATTTTGACATTTTCCCCCCTGCTTTATATTTCCAACAGCCAGGCACTTCAGTTGCTGCCTGGTGAGATGGATGGGTTGTCAGCAGAGCTGCCTGTTTCCAGCACCTCTGCTCTCAGTTATTTGTCACAGCCCATCAGATGGAAACGCCCCCCCAAATGTGACTCCCGAGCTGTTGAGGTCACCAGCCCCACAGGAGAGAGTCTGGGGTGTGAGGAACAAAGAGGTGACAAAATGTTGAGGAAATCCTTCTCACGTGCCAGCAAAGGGAACTATGAGAACCCTGCACTTGTTGGTAATTGCACCCAAATTCCTCCTTTAAATCATCTTTTACTCCTTGAGCTAAGAGAAGGGCTGGTGTCATCACCAGGCAGATCTGTCTCAGATCAAGTGGGAGCACACAGAAATGCTTTGAAGCTGAAAAAGAACCCTTAGCTGGCTTTCAAAGTGATTTTATGGGTTTTTCCTCCCCTCTCCTTTCATGAACAAACGGAACTTTTCAAATAATGAAGTCCTGAGCTGAGTTTATCAGAGCCTGAAAAATGGAATAAGTGATGGTATCTCCTTCATGCAGAGCTCATTAGAAGTCAGGTTTCAGGTCCTTGTATCAGGTGCCCAGCTCAGCTCTCACAGCCTCACACTTATCTCCCAAACAGCCAGCAGCTCCAGCAGTGTCAGGATATTAAAGATTCCATGGAAAATGATTCCACGGTGGAATATTTCACGTTCTACAATCTTTTCCTCCGCCAAGTGCAATAAATTAGAGTGCAGCCATTACCTCATGATAGGTTATAATACAAAATAAAAGCCATCTGATAGCATCAGATGGCTTTTTAAATGCCCTGAATTATGCACTCTGAGAGTTTTGGTGATCTGTATCTTTTTCTCTGTTGACATTTTTCAGCACCACCTGTGATGTGTGAAGAAAGCTTTTAGGTGCTCACTTTTGTATAAAAAGCTTTTTTTTCTGATAAAAGGAAAGTGAAACCGGCCTTGCAAGGCACATGAAGTGTATTTTTACAAATTATTGCATCTGTAAACACACCTTATACCTGCCTTTTAGCTCTTACCACACCAATTTTCCTCATTGCTGTCCCAGACATGCTGAAAATATTTCTGCAATAAATGAAGAAGGGAGTGGAAAGCAGAACTCTGGCGGGCAGTGCCTTGTGAGGATCAGTGAATCTTGGAATGGTTTGGGTTGGAATGGACCCTAAAGATCATCTCATTCCAAATCCCTGCCACCATCCCAGGCTGCTCCAAGCCCTGTCCAGCCTGGCCTTGGACACTTCCAGGGATCTTGGAGCAGACACAGCTGCTCTGGGCACCCTGTTCTAACAGGTCTGTGTCTTTCTTGGGCTAATTATCTGCACTTGAGGAAAATCAGTAATTTTTAGTGAGTAGAAGAGAATAACTGGAGTTTAAAGAATTGGAACAAATGAAGATTGATATTGCAAAATGCTTTGCATGCACAGTCCAGTGCTGTAATAATCACACCACAAGTTCAGGTAAAATTTTGTGCCCTTTCGTCTGACCCAGCACACAGACAATATTTATCAAACAGCCTTCCAGAAAATGCTTTTCTTCCTCCCAGACTGATAGGTTTTATCCTGAAAAGTGCTGGGATTGGCAGGGAAAAATCCATCTGAGAGCAGAAACAGCTGCACTGTGCCTTGACAGAAGGAAATCCCTCCCTTCCCTGTGGCATCACTTGGATGCAGCAAAGATGACAAGTTTGGCCTGATCATGTCGTGCTTGAGGAGTGATAAAGTGCTTCTCCATTAATTAATTAATTATAAATGTCGTGTTCTACCTTGCACTCAGTGTCTGCAGGGAGGCTACAAAGGAATTTCTCAATCCTCACCCAGTGCAGCAAGTGCCAGTGAGTTAAAAACACACCTAATCTCCGTTTCCATCACAAGAGCTTCTCTGCTCACGTGCCTGTCCCAAAAACCAGGGGACACACACTGCCAGGGGCTGTGCTTTGGGAAGGATCCCAGGTCAATCTGGAGGAGCTCTATAAAAATAAGTGTAACTCTTCCAGGTCAGCAGCACTTACCACCTCTCTGGGTGTTTCAGGTGCAGCTTGTAAACTCTTGTCATTATAAAAATAAATTTTAAAAAATTAAATAAATATTTTTTTTTAAAGAAAAGGGTGTTTTTTCCCACCATTTTAATTATTTTAACTGTGACTCCCACACCCTCAGCTTTGTGCTGCCCTTCCTTGCCAGATCCTGGAGTGCTCTCTGGAGCTGAATATCTGCTTCTGGAGGGAGAAATCCTTCAAGCCTCTAAAGAAGCTGGAGCTCAGATCCCTCTATCCAGCAGCTCAGCCTTCCTCTCTGCAAGCCAAACACCCCACCAGCAAGCCAGGGGCTGCACCAGCCTCACTCAGAGCCCTCCTCTAAGAGGTTCTGGCTCAGAAGCAGCTGCAAGTGACACAGTGACACAAGAGCTCTCATTTCCTCCCCCTTTAAAAGGCTAATAAACAGAAAACAGGTCAATTCTCACAGTGGTTTGCAGAACTGGCAGACTGGAGCATTAAAAACACATTTATTGGATTCATATCTACATTTACAGCAAATTGTGGGCAAAGCTTATCTAGGAAGCAGCAGAGAATAACTTTGCCTCATGAATAAAGATGAATTCCAGAGCTTTGGCACAGCTCTGAGATGGGACTTGGTCTGGCTGAGGAAAGAGATAAGTGGCAGCAGGCTGGTACCAGGCACTCTCTGAAGCCAGCAGAACTCCCAGGTCAGGGAAAATCCCTTTCAGCACATCCGTCTTTCACTGAATCATGGAATCATTCAGGTTGGAAAAGACCTCCAAGGGCGTCAAACCCAACTTCTGATAGAACACCACCCCCCCCAAACCCTCACACCAAATTCTCCCTAATGCTTGGGGTCACTCCAGGTCCCTTGTGAAAGACATTCCCCCACATTTTGCTCTTGGAATCCCTGTTCAGATGCAGGGATGCCCACTTGACACCTGGGGTATCTCAGGAGCTCTCAGCACCCTCAGGGATCACAGCAAGGCCAAGGCACAGCTCAGTGAAGCCAGGCTGAGCTACCCCAGGGCACCACCACAGCCTGGTGTGCTGCAATAAAATCTCATTTTCACTCCAATTTCATACCAGCAGGCAGTTTCCAAGCCCTCAGAACTGTAAACAGCCACGGGGGGGACATTTATTGTCCCCCTGACAAGCCCAGCCTTGTGGCTTGCCTCGTTAAAAGCATCTCATTACAACCAATTATCACAGCATCAATCTCCCTGCCCCAGCTGAGCTCTGATTTCTCCCTGACTGAAAGGACAGACCCCAAAGATGGTGCCTGCAACAATTCATAACTCAGCACCACCCAGGCAATTTGAATTTAATCTCAGAGGAGGAAAAGCCACCATTAGCCCTGGGTCACCACAGACTCCAGAGAGACCTCCCTAATGAGGGATAATTTTCTATTAGAAAGTTGTATGCAATAATAAAAAGTACTGTAGATAGATTATTTTTCTCCCATAAGTCTTGTAAATTAAATGTAATTTAATTTGATTTGATTCTGAACCCAGGAAGTTTTTTAGAATTCACAACCTCCCGTGCCAAGGCATTGCACAATTTAAGTGCCCACTGACAGAAAAATTCTATCCTTTTCTGAATTCACTTTGAACCTAATCATTGCTGCTTTCACTAGGAACTGCTCAGTTCTTTTACAAAGATAGGAATATTCACAGCCTAACCACAATATCCCTTTCCCTGGGGAGAAAACCCATAAAATGCTCTTTAACATCCCTCCTTGGGCATCTCTTTTCCAAGCTGAAGTGTCCCAGTCTATTCAGTAGCTTCCAGCATGGAAACAGCTCCCTGTCATTTCTCCCCTGTATCTTTGATGGGTTTAATTCTACCACATCCTGCCCTGGGCTTGCAGAGGAGGGTTTTACCCTATTTTTCTGTGACAGATTGGGTTTGACTGGGATTAAGTTGGGCTCTGAGGTGTCACTAAATGCATCCTCCCTCCCTTCCCTAAAAAAGTCACTGCTGTGCCCTCCTATCCCCGGTCCCACTCACACTCCAGCATCCTTT